TTCCTTCAGGAATATAGCAAGTAAAATAAAAGCAAAGTAGTAACTAAAATAAAAGCCAAGTAGCAAGTAAATTTACCTTGGGCAGATCGCCAAGAGCATTCCATGCATCCCATTTGGCCTTATTGATCAAGTCGAACAGACCTGGTTTAGGTGTATTACAAGGCCCTTCAGTGGCCTGTGAAGAGGAGAGGGGCAATTATCAGTCAAATGTCCATGCAAATTGGAGTGTCAAATATTTAAGATCCATAAAATGGACAACTAGCGTGAATGCGCCTTCCCCTCCCAAACACTTTTAGAAGATACATAAATTCATCTTAACCTTCCCCTTGCACTGTCTTTGATGCTGCAGGTAAAAATACACAACAGAAAAAAGACTGGAGAAACAAAATGTGCCATCAGCTATCAGTCCCTAAAGTAAGTTATAAATGCCTGCTTATGAAAACAATGCAAGGCAAGGGTTTTGGCAAAGTACTTTTTAAAAACGTCTAATAGTTCATTAGTTTTATACTGATGATCCCATTTTTCACACACAATCAAAATATTCACGCAAACCATCTTCAAAAGTAACCAGCCAACAAACATTTGGAAACCTACTGTATATTCTGAAAGCTCACTCAAAGATACAAAAAATACCACTTAATTCAGTGGTGGATTTCTGCCAACTGAACAGAGTCCTACTTGGGGTAGCAGGGATAGGAGGGTGTCAAAGCCACCGGCCTTCTGGAAACTTAAATGAAGGCCATGTAAATAGGAAACATAAAAACAACTAAATTTTACTTGTTTGAGAGTAGGTGGAGTGAGTGTTTTGAGATGAGTATCCCATGCCACTTACACAGCCACATGTAAAAACTTCAAATCCTATAATTAGCTAAAAGAGGAAAGAAGAAAGAGGCTTTGAGAAACAAAGGCAGTGGAGGAGGCTTAGACTTTCCAAAGACAAAGAGACACCAGTCACCCTGCAAGAGGGAAGTGAGAGGCAACACGGTCCACAAGCCTCCTTCCCCAACCCAGCCTGGAGTCAGGAAACAATACTTCTCCCAGAATAGATGTGTAATAATGCACAGGGAGTACTGCCCACCAGGGAAACTCACTCAAGCCCTGGTGTTCAGAGTTCTCGTATGGGGCTCATGGTGTAGGCATGACTGAATATGCAGCCAGGAGCCCTGACTCGAAATCACATTGTTAGACTCTCAGGCCGACAAAGACACTCCTTAGCAGGCATGATCTTTTGAGGGCTTAGGGATTACCTCCCAGAAGTCAAGGGCAAAGTCCTGGCCTCTTTCTGAAATGTCAAATTCTTCACTGTACACACCCATAGGACACTAAGGGAGGCTGGTACCGATCACGGGAAGAGGAAAATAGATCACACACAGGAGCCCCAAACCAGCTGACTTCCCAAGGTTGTCTTTAGACATCACAACTTAAAAATTTTAGTTTTAAATTTTTGTTATACAAATTTTCAAACATGTAGAAAAGTAGAATATTATAATGAATTCCCAATACTCGACCTAACTCAGTAACTATTTTTTTGGCCATACTTGCTTTGTCCATTCCTTCCCTTCCCCTTCCTTCCTTCTTTTTTTTTTTTTTTTGCTCATTTTGGTGAACCCCAAACGCCATGCTATCTCACCCCTACATATTTAGTGTGCATTCCTAAAGAACATCAACATTTTCTTATATAACCATGGTGCCATTAATAATAACTCCTAGGTATCACCTAATACTCAGTCCACATTCAGATTTCCCCAGTGGTCTCAAAAAATTTTTTTCAGTTGATTTTTTCTAATCAGAAGCCTTTGGTGGTTATCTCTTTTAAGTCTCTCTGACTCCAGAGTGATCCTGATACATTACTTTTTGCCTTAACGGTACTGCAAAGACTAATGTACAAAAACTCTCATGTAGACACTCTTCAGAGGAAAGGCAGTAATACAAACCCTAAAAATATGAAAGCTGCATTTCAGTAAAACACACGGCAGATCTGTCTGAGGAGCCTTCTGCTCAAAATGTCTCTAAATTACGTCAGACCTCAGGCATTTACCTGCTTATAGAGCGCATAGAGTTTGAGCTTCACTTCATTTCCTGGGTCCTTCTTCAACAGCTTCACCTGATTGACTGCACTCTCAAAATCCTTCTGACTGGCTCCCATTGCTGTTTTGCTCACGTGCAGCTGAAGTGCTGGGACCCGCAGGGAACTGCAAACAGGCAGACTGATTTCTAATTGCTGCCAGTCCTTACATACCAAAATGCTCTGTTTCTCCTGAAATATGTTCTCTATACCTGCCCCTATACAAGCTGGCTGCAAATGGTTAGTGGTGTAGGGGCCAAGGGCAAACAGCCCCAAGATGGGCCATGTTGGCATGAGCAATATTTTGAGTTAAAAGCGAGCAAAGCCCAGCAGATGCAGGAAAAGCTCTCTGACTCCCCACCAACTGCTTAGGTTTACATTGGAAAGAAGAGCTTGTACTAGGAACAGTGCCATTAACAGAGATTCCCCTTTATCCAAGAAACTTATTTGTGTAATGGGACAATCTTTGTTTTCCCAAGATCTCCTCTCACCTTCCTGCTAATGGTCTTCCTCCACTTTGTATCCTCAGACTCCTAACCCCTCTCCTTAGCTCAGAATATAAGCTTCAAAATATAAGTCATGTAAGCCACCTGCTGCCCATCTTTGGAATTTCATGTCTATGTGGATTCCCCATATGTATGAAACTAAATTTGATTTTCTCCCGTTGATCTGTCTCTGTCAATTTGATTCTTAATCCAGCTAGAAGGACCTTGAAGGGCAGAATAAATCTCTTCCTTCCCAACAGTGGTTTTCAAAATGATCCCCCGCTCAAAAAAAAATCAATACAGAGGCTAACTGTAGTAATCTTAAAATAAAGGAAAAGGAAGTTACAATCCAGCACAGCATTTGTAGCAATTCAAATTACTGATAAAAGCAGCGAGTACCTGAATGGCCATGTAAATTTTGCCACAGGCAAGAAAGTAAATGAAAAGCACTGCGAAATGGAAGTGAGCAGGAGACTGAGCCTGAAGAGGTCAGCTGTACAGAATTTGGTCCTTTGTGTCCTAAGGGCCAGAAATCCTGTCTGCCCTCACTGATGGTTAACAAAGTATAAACTATTATCAGGTCAATCCTTTCTGTTCAGCAAAATGTGTGTCCCGACATACAGGTGGAAGTGATATAGGAAAGAAGGTGGGATTCAGGGCCTACAGCCAAGAAAGAATTCTTGAGACGTCTTTAGTGCATAAAGGTGGTTTTATTAAAGCATGGGGACACGACCCGTGGGTCAAGAGGATGGCTGATTATACACTTTCAAGTTGGGAGGGGGTTAGGGGTAGCCTAAGTCTCTAAGGAATTTTGGAAGCAAGGTTTCCAGGACCTTGAAGGGGCTATCTATTGTTAGGGAAAGGTCATTTACTACTGTCTAATAAAACCTTAGTCATGAGACCCTTCAGATGTATATCTGTGAGTCATAAGCTTGGGGGGTGATTGTCAACACGTATCTTGGGGGGTAGAGATAAAGGACATTTCCAAAGGAATTTTTATATGTTAAAGTAGACTAACAGGACCCTGGGGGTGGGGCTAAGATTGCCTTTTGCCCTTAGCAAAATATTAACATCCAGGCAGCTGAGTTCCTAGAGGAAGGTCACTCCGCCTGTTTCAAGGACTTGTCAGTGGGCTGTAAGTGGTAAGGAAATTTAATTTTTCTTCTGCCTTTGTTTCCCACATCAGAAGGAGGGGAGAATGGGTTAGGATACAAGAAATGTTCAAAAAGACGGATGAGCTGTTGTTGGCATTCCAGACAAAGAGCCACTTCCTAGTAGGTGGGGGACCTACCCAGGCAAAATCTAAACCCTGTGGCTGCTAGTCTGTGAAGCTGCCCTGAACAGACATAACTAAATACTCACCCCAGGAAGCTGAACCAGCCAGCTAGGAGGAGACCAGAAACAGCAAGCACAACCAGGTACAGTGTTTAGTAGGCAGAGGAAGAGAAAATTTCAGTGCACAGTACTGGGAACACAAGCAAAAAACTGATGTTCACAATGATGACCCTGGCATATAAAGTTAAAAGTTAATGGGATCAAAGATGATTAAAATAATACAGTTTTAATAACGCCCACACCTGATGTATCACTTCCTCTGCAATAATATGCCTTTCAAAGACAATAAAGAACCCTAGGTTCGGGGCGCCTGCGTGGCTCAGTTGGTTAAGCGGCTGCCTTTGGCTCAGGTCATGATCCCAGGGTCCTGGGATCAAGTCCTGCATCGGGCTCCTTGCTCAGTGGAGAGCCTGCTTCTCCCTCTGCCTCTGCTTGCCTCTCTGCCTACTTGTGCTCTCCCTCTCTCTCTGTCAAATAAATAAAGAAAATCTTAAAAAAAAAAAAAATGCAACCAGAGTACAGGATTGAGACTAGTGAGCAAAACAACAGAAGACAAGAGTTAAGAACTCGGAGAAAATAAAAGATAATAGTCCCAACAGTCCAGACATTCTCTTCTGTAACTAGAATTTCTTTCAAAAAGAACAGACCAATTGAAACAAAAACATTCAGAGATATTATCAAAGAAAACTTAAAACAAGGCCTTACTAATCAGTTTTAACAGGATACATATGTTCTATGAAAAAGTGATACAGAACGGAAAGTATCCCCTGGTCTTCCAGGGGGAAAAAAAGATCTTATAAAAACAAAATTAATGGTAGCCTCAAACTTCTCCAGGGCGACATCCTATGCTAGAAGACAATGGAGCACTACTTAACAGACCATATACTCGGAAAAGAGGTCTGTGGGGTGTCGGGAAATGCATGCTCCCTTCCTCAACTCTCATAGGGGCAACCAACAGACCCTGTCCAAGGGGAATAATACAAGCTAGAGTTATTGATGGGTACCACACAAAGCTATAAAAGCAATTACTAAAAGCAGGGAAAAAACCTTTCAAACCATGAGAAGTAAAACACACACTAAGGAAAAAACAGACCATGAAGTAAAAAACAGTCAAAGGAAGTATTCTAAGGAGTAACCATGTAAGATGCCAGAGCTAAAAGGTAACAGATCTGTCATATACATAAATCTAAACAGGTAAAGGGGCCTTTACAAAAAAAAAAAAAAAAAAAAAATTCAGACTGGATCAAAGAGGGAAAATCTAACAATGTGTTCTATGAGACACAGACTGTAAGAAGTAATTCGGAAAGACAGAAAGCTAAAAGGGTGGTAAAGGTTTGCCAGGCAAGTGCAAAGAGTACTGAGGCAGGTGTTATGGCATTAATATTTGACAAGGTTGACTTCAAGGCAAAAAGCATTAAGTGAGACAAAAGATGACCATTTTATAATAACGGATAACCATTCACAAGTCTTTTAGTGTCAATAAGATAAAAACTTGCTTTAAAGCAATTTGTTTTTTTGACATGAAGGAGACACTGAAAGAAACATAATAGCAATAAATGCCTTTACGTTACTTTTTTCAGTCTAAGATTAATTAGAAGACAAAAACAGAAATGGAGGAATCTTAACATAAATTAGAAAGGTCAGTCTAACTGATATATTTTTAACTCTATACCTTAAAAGAATGAACTTATTTTTTGAATAGTTCCTGGATGATATAAAAAATTGGCCATTTTCCAGTTCTTTATCTTCAAGGTAGAGAGTTCCATATGGAGCAATATACATAAAACTTAATAGATTTTTTTT